ACCGCTACCCAGTAGCGTCTAACATAACCGCCAAGACTGGTGTTATGAATTGTTCTTGAGCAAATATAGAATTTGGGTTCGACCCTCTTACAAAGATACCTTCTGTATCTATAAATTCAATGACATCTGTAACATGTACCTGGTACTCTAAGTTTTTAGTGAAAATCTTAGTCCAATAGGCTGCTGATTTCCATTTAGGAACAATCAAGGTACCTCTAGCTTTACAGTAAATCAAGTGTGTAATACATCGAATAACAGAATAAACAGGTGGTACTAACCAGTTATTCTCATTTGACCAATCTTGTGTGAAAGCATCTACAGCTATTGCGCATGGGTTCCAAAATAGAGAATTATATCTACACACTTTTGCATTCTGAGAATTAGCAAACCTATCTATTGTGTAAGGACCCCATAAATCATTCATAAATTGAAAAAACTCATTTGATACACCCCAATCCTCGTAATCAACCATTCGACTGATGTAATCAGCTTGAGAGTTTTGTGATCTAGGAATCCATTAAATGTCAATGGAAATACATCTCTGAATACAGACCGAAAATATCGACAAAGCTATCATTTGTAGTTTTTCATTCATACTACCAGATTTTACAATTTTCACACAGTTCTGATTATCTGTGTACCATTTAAGTGTTTTGCCTTCAAAAGCAATTTTGAAAGATATCAAGGCTAGCTCTATAGCTTTCAACTCCCTCCATGTTGAACTTTCTTGTGCTTCAGAAAGGTCCCATGTTTCATGAAAAAATTTCTTGTCAAGTTCTAGTGAATATGCACCTGCCCCTATACCACTGGCGTCAGAGTAAATTACAACATGTGATTTTGAGTAATGACCCAACAACTTAATGTTTAAACTAGTAATGTTATCTAACCAGAAATGCAGTTCTGATAAGACTTTGTAAGGACATGGAAACAACAGCCATTTGTCCCATTCTGTTCTACACTCTATTGCCATATAACAAAATTTTGTCATAATTCTAGCTACATTGCCAATGACTGGAGCCATGGAAATAATTCTACCTACAACCTGAGCTAAGGTCCTAGCAGTTATTTTTGGAAATCTTCTAATAACTGATACAAGGGATACACGCAAATCATCTACACGTCTGTTTGGAATAACAAGACTAAATTCGCTAGCATTCCAAACAATACCAAGCCATTCTAATGACTGTACAGGTGAAAAAATTGACTTTCCTTCATTTATAAGAAAACCGGCGTCTTCTAAAGATTTCTTAACAAAATTTGAATCTTCTATACACTTAGATTTATCTGTACACATACCAAAACCATCATCAAGGTACAATACAACATCTATACCGTTTTCACGCCAATATTTAACCATAGGACATTTTGTAAATATGTGTGGGCCCGTACATATACCAAATACTAAAACTGTAAAACAATAAAATTTATTGTTCAAGCTGAACCTAGAAAAGTTTGTTGCTGCGGACAAATGTCCAAGTGAAAATATCCAGAACTTAAATCAAATTTATACATGTACGAATCCTTCTGAAAATACTGAACTGCTATCTTCAAATCTTCAAATTTTATTTTGTCTTTTTTGATTGACTTGTTTAAAACGGATAAATAAAAAATAAGCCGTTTTTTTGCCAGATTTTTGAATCGCTACGCTTAAGGGATTGACAACATGAGGTTGAAATGGTACTTCAACTACACAACCTGTAGAAACTAACTCTGAAACAGTCTGATTGACAAATGATTCATTCAGTAATGCTGATTTGTTATTCTTAAAGAACATTTTAACCGGCGGGTCAATAAATGGAATGACATAACCGTTACGTATTGTGTCAATAACAAAAGAATTTGCTCCAATATATTCCCAAAATTTTACATGCTTCGCTAACCGTCCTTTTACACCCGTAAATGACATGCAATTATGACTAATCTTTTCAAAATAATGAATGTGAGTTAAGAAAATATCTAATTCATACTGTGACCCATATTCACATTCATAACAATCAAATCCAGTAAAATTATACTTATCATTTACATTTCTGGATGCATCTTCAGATTTACTTCTGATTGGCAACTCCTGACGATCCGACACCAACGGATCCAGATTTGAGGGGGCAATTTTTTCTCCAATGCCCGAACTGCTTACAGAAGAAGCACATGTCCCACTGGCACGGCTCACGCCGTGCGACGCTGTTACGAAAGGGCTGCCCATTGAAACTGTTGGTTGTAAGCGGGATTAGCATAGGTTTCGGCTGGTGGCAATCTGGGTTTATTTGAATACGGAGCGGGACGCCCTTTAGTCTTGTCTTTCATAGTGCGCATGGCTCGGCTCTCCGCCTGGCGAATTTTCTTCTCATCCTCGCTGTCGGAAGCAATATCATTAGACTCGTACTCCCGGACTGTTGACCATCCTGCCGGTGAAGAACCTGCAATCCGTATTAGCTTATTACGGCCTTTAACTTTATCTAACAAATCCAGAACAACGCGAATACTCTGTGTCTCTGTTGACGGAATTAACTTGTAAAGCTTATTGAGTTCATTCGCAGTTTCTTCATTAAACTTGAACTGAATTCTGTTTCCTTCGTGTTTGAACTTGATAGAAACCTCTTCCTTTATCTTCTTGGACATCGTGTCTTGTTCGCGTACCAACTTGGATTCAAGATTATCCATTTTCCCGTCCATGTACAGCTTAAATAGAGAGAACGTGTCGTGTAAGTCTCTATCAGAAGATGATCTGGTTGCACCATCACTGCTTTTATCAGGCAACGAGTCGTCCTGCAGAAGTAGACTTTCTTCTGTATGTTCGGCCATATTGAAGTAAAAATGACCAGACTGGACTGTCCGAAGGCAAGCGTCGAATGACACATAATTAAACATAGATTTACCGTTACAATTCTTCCCGCTTATTTTGGCTCGTGAAATACTCAGTAATTCAGAGTAGACCTTATATCTAGTCATGTGACAAATGTCAAAACAAATACACGTGTTCATTATAACATTTATAAATACATAAATCAGTTCTAGGTAGAACTGACCAAATCAGTTCTAGGTTAGAACTGTTCTAGCTAGAACTGTCTAAAAGGTGTCAGGATGACAGTTCTACATACTGTCCTAGAACAGTTCTCCTGGCAGATTCTGACAGATTTGATGAGAGGTTAGAAGTGATATCCACTGTATATAAAAGCGCCAGCCTGGCTGTTGATTAGTGTGAAGCTAACAGGTAACAACCGAAGTTAATATTCATGAGACCAGCCTGCAAGATAATCACTAAATCATGGAGATATTTCTCGAAAAGCAGACATTTCATATAAAAAAAACGCATACAAACGGTTCTAACTAATATCTCGGACATATCGAAGTGAGAAATAAACATGGATGTTTTACATTTAGACATTGCACGCACTTAACTGGCGGTATTTTAGTAAACTGATCGACAAATGTAACTTCCAGCTAACATTACGATCGCTCTTCTGTAATTTTAATTAGATCAAACAAAAGAACAGAATTACAATTCATGAAAATAGCAGAAACACGAAAACTATCAAATACAATTTCAATATAAATATCATTATTGAAACATACGGAGAGTAATGAGAGTCGTAATTAATATGAAACATAATCAGACCTAGGTCATAGAAAGGTAGACATAGTATCTACTACGTACCATAATTAGTCTGACAGCACGTGTTGGGGGACAGGTATCCGGTATCTAACATAGATCAGCTCGGCTATAGATTCTCTATGTGGCCATGGTATCAGAAGTAGAGGTAAACGTGGTCGCTACAATGTACCGTACCACAGATATTCTAGTCCTTTACGGTATGAGAGTTAACAAAAATACAAGTACATGCAAAACAACAATAAAAATACAATATCAAAGAATGTTTGGAGTTTTTGTTATTTAATATTAAAGTTCTTTTAATATGCTGAAATGAATAATTGATGAATTTTTCTTACTTAACGTCCATTGAGAAATATTTCATGCATATTCAAGACGAGAAAAAAAAATAACAATTAATGCAATATGTAGGTGCTTCAAAGTAGGTTGGGAAATTTGGCACTCCTTACACGCGGCATTAGGTTTAACGTCCCCATTCCGACAGGACGTGTATACATTCCATACTCCAATATATCAAGGGTTTTACTACCGGGCGGGAGATGTTCGGGGATAACCATATTTCTATACCCAAGTCAACTCTTCGGGTTTGATGAAATGAAATAACTCCCAGTGGGAAGCTGTAGATTTCATGTAGCAACACCATAAATAGTAAAGAATAACACAATTTAGTGCAATTATTCAAGATTAATTTTGTACAGAAAATCAACAAAAAAAACCCATTTTAGTCTTGCTTCAAACTATAGCAGTATAAATTAACGAATAGATATTTTTTCTTTCTTTCTATTATCACACATAATAACCCTTTGGGTTAAATCTTAAACATTTCTTCAGTATTGACTTTATAAGCTAGGCCAGAAAAAATACAAAGTTCTTTTTTATTTGACTGATTTTTCAAGGTTATAATAAATGCAAGCAATTTTTGGGGAATGTTCATTTTCACAATAATCTACTTTCTTTGTTCGCTTTATGAGCTAGCTGATGATTTTGTTATTTTTCTAAACTATGTTTTTATTTATATTATTTTTATATCTTGACATTGCCGAATAGGGCAGTTACCCTTAATTCGCTCGTGTATTTTTTAACCTTGAAATGTGAGGAAATTTTAATTTCTCTTTGAATCATTGTTAATTTGAAGTTCAAGGATTCTATTTTCAAACAACAATACCTGATTACAGAGTTCAATTTTGTATTGAAAAAAGAAAATTATAGATAAGTAATCTAATAAACTTTAATGATATCAATTAGGCACATTGTCAGAAGTAAGGGATTTTAAATTTCACATGATTTTGAATACAAAATTGAAAAAATGAGAGAAAATTAAAATCATTTACTGTTTAAATAGCTGTATAATAAGACATTACGCGGACATTTCGGCATCTTTGAAATAGTATAAAACCACCACCTGGTAGCTGGTTTTGCAACTGACAACAATAATGATAGGGTTTTCGGTCTTCAGTTTGGTTTATCTATTGAGTTTTCTTGGACATTCTGGAGCGATCGAAATAGACGAGTATCTTGCCGTTGACAATTGCGATGAATATAAACAGTAAGTAGATTTCCCTTGTTTGATTTAATTTTACTCCCTTAGAAACTTATGTAAAAGTGTGAGGACACATGTTAATTTTATTTTCTAAAAATATCTGCATATTATTATGTTATACAAATTGTAAACGACAACTTTAATGATGAATATAAACAGTAAGTTATGTATTTCTTCTTATCTTATTTAATTTTACACCCTTAGCAAAATGTGTAAATGTTTGAGGACCCCATTAAAAAACTCATCAAATTTACCAGACTAATAATTTTGAACCAGGCGCACGTTTCGTCTACAAAGACTCAATAGTAACGCTCGAATAAATAAAAGTTACAAAACCAAAATGATGAAGTTTATTGAGGACCTAAAAGTTTTGACAAATTAAAGTATCTTTATACATTTTTATTCTAAAAATATCCGCGTTTTATTTAGTCAAGTTATGGTATGGCGCCAACAAACTAGTTTAACCCCGCTACATTCTGTATGTGCCTGTCCCAAGTCAGGAGCCTTTTATTCAGTGGTTGTCGTTTGTTGCTGTATATCATATTTGTTTTTCGTTCATTGTTTTGTACACAAATCAGGCCGTTAGTTTTCTCGTTTGAATTGTTTTGCATTTTTCATTTCTGGGCCTTTTATTGCTGACCATGCGAAATGGTTTTTGCTCATTGTTGAAGGCTGTACGCTGACATATATTTGTAAACTTCTATGTCATTTGGTCTCTTGTGGAGAGTTGTCTCTTTGGCATTCATACCACATCTTTTTATTTTTATATTAGAAAACAAATGCAATGATTAAATCAAATAATTTTATGGTGTAAATTCCAATACAGGAATGATACAGGCTGACATATACAAATACAAAAATAAGCAAAGACAAATATACTGAGACAGTCACATATTAAGAGCATACGATACATTTTGATCCCACGGTGATCTTTTTACGAAAACTTGCATACAAGCCATTTTACACCTTGTCAATTCAAATTTGTAATAAAAAATATACCTTCATGTGCTAAACTTAGAGATAAATGGGGTCAAAATTTTAGATATTTACTTAAAATTTCGGTTTCGATCTTGGCCATTTCTATCCTTTGAACAGACAAACTTTACTTTTTTGTTTCAAAAGATAAACACATGCGGATTTATGTAAACAGATTTGGAATATCTTCTTGAAAAAAGTATACTCTTAATTTTTGTAACAATTCTTTAGAAATAATTATTTTTTATACTTGAAAAAAACCCTGCATTTTTGGCTGTATATTTATCTAATTTAAAAACAAATCATCGGTGATTTCTTCATAAAAATTGGAATAAATAATCTGTATACAGTATCAAGTCAGATGTCTTTTTAAGAAAGAGAGGTCTATGTACTCATTTTCAAGCTTATGATTAAAATCACTAGAAAAATGAATCTTTTCCCGATATGTCGCAGTTTGACGTCGCGAAAAATAACATTTTACGTTAGCAACGTCATTACCTTCCCTGTAACTAACTGTATCGTGTGCCCTTGAATATTAGACTATATTATAAGTAAAGGTTTGATCGCTAAAAAAACCCATCTTAGAATATTACAAAAAGACATATATATCAAAGGGACATGGAATTAAATATCGTCCTTCTTCTTGACATTAGCTGTTACTGATAGTTATCCAACCATGAACTGAGTATCAATATTACAACATGATCAAAACTGTTTTTAGTGTTTGACTTAATTGATTACTACCTTTGTATATTTTTTCTTGAAGACGATATATTGATTCAGGTTTGTAGAAAAAACATCGCAAATACGTTTCCCATGCTTTGGCTGATATTGGGTATATGGCTAAGACCATAGTAAAAGAAAGGATATGATGTAATTATTCATGAAACAATCTATTCTTGCACACGACAACACCCAAAGTAGGGGAACAACACTTTATTGATTGATGTCCTTCACCGGAAAGACCAAGATAGGCATTCAACAAAGAGCAAAAGCTCACATATCATTGTAGTTTCAAGACGGTTCCTAGCGCTGGTTATTATATTATTTTGTATGTCCGTAACGTTACACGAACTTGCACCTATGGTTATCAGTGAAAAAATAATTTGAATTATGGTTACATTTTATTCCTACTTTGTTTTTAAACCCCTCGTGATGGGAATATAGACACTTAGATTGATTGATTTATACTTGTTTAACATCCAGTGGTAAATATCACCATCGGAGTTAACGTACCCATGCTGACCGGACTAGACTGCGTATTTATACATCCCGCACAGCCAATGGACGCCCCACTTTAGACACTTTTACCGTTCTACAGTTATGGTACTTGATTGTTGAAAACAAATCACAAGAATTTAGAAAGATTTGTTATATATCATTTCGGTACCGAAGTACTGACCACTGAACTGGTGATATCCTCGGGGACTTATAGTTTACTAGCAGCGGTATGAACCCAGTGCTTTAAGAAATGAAAACAACAATCACTTTATAAATTTAAATCGTCCGAAGCGTTTTTCTGGATAAGCCTCATTAGAAACGCCCAAAACTGAATATTTGAAAGCCAAGGATGTATAAGAACCTAATCAGTTGAACCCCTATATGACCAACAAGGACCTAACAATAATAGTCTGATGTATCTAAGGTCAACTGTGCCAGAGGGAGTTGAAATGTTTTGCAAGTATTGAAATATAAGAAAAAAATTATATAATATTATTTAATTCTTAATGTTTGATTGATTACATTTCAGAGAGAGAGAGAGAGAGAGAGAGAGAGAGAGAGAGAGAGAGAGAGAGTATTCATATAACAGGATAAAATATACGGATCATATCTGGCGTGATAAATTTTTTTTTTTAAATATTCGCTTTGTTTTCTAAACTCGAAAGTAATGTACAAAAAAAACCCACTGTGTTATACTTGATATTTTAATTGCAGACAGTCAGCTGTGCCACTACCGATCACTGGTAACCCAAGATGTATTACGATAGCACAGAACAATAAGCGCATTACTGATGGAAAGCCCCTATATACCAGTTTTACTGATCAATTGGATTTTAAAGACAATACTCCTCGCTTTTGTTTCGACCAAAGCAATAAACTTGTTGCTTTTGATGCCTCTTTCGACAGGTAGGTTGCTGACTATATATGCTAAAAACTATTACTTGGTCATTTGTTACAGTTTGAGATATTGCTTGAAAGTAAGGTTTTGAGAATACTGATTAATACTAATGCTATGTTTACTCTGACCCCCAAAATATGATATCTATATCATGGTTGCCTAAAACTAAAATGGAATTATATATATATTATACTGTGTTGAAATAACTTCAGGTACTTGAATCTGCTAAATCAAATAATTCACTCTCTTTTTCCATTCTAAATATTATGCAGAACTAATTTTTAATTTCTATCTTTAGCATGTTTTTTTCCCCTTTGATTTTTTTAGCATTACCAGGAGAAGTAAGTCTTAGGACAAAAAAGTATAGTAACGCAATATACAATACTTTAAACGACGCACGCAAGTACATGTATTAGTAATATGCATCATTTATTTTCACTCTCTATGACACGGCTCTAACCTAATACTGTAAATTCAGAAATTAATGCGTGCCTTGTTATTGCGAATCCTTGACCTCTAGCAAAAATGCGAAATATTATCATTATATTATTGATTGCAAAAATTTACTAAAATTATGACTGCGAGTTTTTATTATTGCGAACCTGGTACTGTATCTTTTTTTTCGCATTTACAATATAATCGCGATAATTTCTGAATTTACATAACACAACAAAGTGAAAGAAATAACTATGTTTAAACATTCTACCTGATTACACTATAAACACTCACTTTCCGTTATAGTAACAATCCAGATAAAGTTGCCAAGGTTGAGATTACACCATGTAGAAATGCGGGATACTGGACCAATGGAAACGTATTTTGTACTGTTCCTGAATGTTCGAAATATGTAGAGCAAACGAATACAAAATATTTTGAAGATGAACTGCATGTTACTGTGAATATGAAAGACCTTTACGAGATACCGGTAACAGGATTGGGAGTAACACGTGGTGTCAATGTTATAAAGTTTGGTGGAACGCCCGATCATCGTTTGATATATAATATTAAGACCAATTTGACAAAGAAGCTAAACACCGAAGATTTTAAAGAATACTGTGAAAGATATGGTCCTTGTTATAAGGGAGAGTTCCTAGGGAGAAGCGATATACTCTACCTTAACGGTGGGAGGCCTCCATTAGTTTTTAAACGACAAGGTGATGAGGTATTCATTGTTCTCAGGTACGATCCAAGAATGTTTGCTTTTCGCGATCGCCCTCCTTATGTGTCCTGTTATTACACACCTGATAAAACTTCCGAAGAGTGTGACTCACCAACAGGTTCCTTTAAGTGGACAAAATTATGGAAGGCTTCATTACCTTATGAAAAAGAATGGTTGTCGTTGCGTTTCTCCACTCGATGGTCTTCCAAACAAGATTGCATCATTCGAGTCACTGATACCGAGACGGGAAATGATCTTATTAACTTTACTGGGCCCTGTGGAAGATATGCTGATATGGATTTAGGGAATTTTCCTTATCCTAGGATTGGCCTCTTTGGTAAAGGTATAAATGGATCTGTCAAAATGAGATTCAAAGATATTATGTTCAAATGATGATTCTGCTCTACTGTAAGCTAATTTACGTCGAATAGCTATGTTTTTAGACTGAACTCATTGATTAGTTCCTCTTTTAATAGTATTCCGATAAACGACCTTGATAATATTTATTATAGCATATAAAATAAACATGTATATTATTAATTAAGATTCGTTACATTTATCCATTTTGAAATCGAACTGAAATAAATAAAGTTTTATTTTCGACCTAGTCATTTTTTTTTAATTTCTTATACAAAATAACCTTATTTTAGTATAAGCACCAGTTAGCACTTCGAACATTTATTTCTTTCTTTGAACCTAATATCAGAAATCAATGTATCAAAAGAAGAAGAGCAATAAACTAAAATCATACACACAAAACACTTCCATATCAACACACCAACACTCACACGCACACACAAACACGACATCAAAAAACCAAGGAACCGTTTGCATTGAGATAAACAATTAATGATGGCAACTTTTATATGTATAGCAAGCGTATAAAAATGCACTACAAAAGTATAAAAGTCTGAAAAGACCAGTTTTTGTCTTAATTTGCATGAACTTTTACTCGACATTCTCCAAAAGTATGACTTGTGTCTTAATTTTTCTTGACAAATTCTCATTTATATTAAATTTGTATGAAATTTACTCGACATATTCTCGGCATTCTGAATATGGTCTTAAAATTTCTTGACAAATTCTTGACATTTGAATACTGTCTTGAAATTTCTCGACATATTCTGGACATTCTTATTTTTTCTCAGTATGGCTTGACATATTCTGAACATTTTGAATCGTGTCTTAAATTTACTTGACAGTTCTGAGTTTTACAAATCATGACCAATATTCATGATATAACTTTAATCTTTATTTCTCTTTATATGATATACTGTTGTTTCAAGTTACACTTCTTTACAACAAAAATAAAAGTTGGGCATGTAAAATAATTGAAAATTTGGGTATATAAATATTTTTACAAATGCAAATATGGCTATGAAATCTAAAGTATAAAATAATTCAAATGTGGGTGTGTTGATATAAAACAATTTCAATGTGGGTTTTTAAATAATTACAAATTTTGATTCCTAAATCTTATAAATTAAATGATTCAAACCAATCATACTGTAGACATATTTCATTCTACATTCATAATATTCAATGTTGATATGGTAAATAATTATTATACCAAAATGTGGTTTATATAAATAGCAAATTATGATGATATACAAATCATTCATTTAACAGAAGAAAAATTTGTGTAATGTCATCTGTTGGAATATATTAAGTATTACACATGGACAGGATGTTCCCCATAAAATTAAGGTATTCCACACCCCAGTGTACACGCAACTGTCAAATAGAAGTTATTGCTTTACCTGTAATCAGCCATACAACTTATTAGTTGACCGACCATGCCACTACAATTTAAAAAGTTTGTTGATAGATGAAAATGAAAATCATCATTTTGATGAAAAAAAATTGAATTGAAATGGATTTTCTTCATCAAAATTATGAAGTTAATTATTTTAACATAAAAACAAATTGAATAATTCCCAAAGATTAAAAGAAAATTATTATCTACTCCAGGAATAATAAAAAAAATGTATTTATAATGGGTCCCATCAATGATTTCTATAGAAATCATCGGTCTTATGAAATGGTTCTCAAACAGACATGCATAATATAGATCTAAACATTGTTTTCTTTTCAGGAAGGAGTTATCACCAATATTTATTTTTGATAAAAAATTATAAAATTCAACACTCAAATTTGAATAAAAAATGTTTTTGGGTTGTTCTAAAAAATGAATAAGGTTTTTGAATCAAGATGGGAACAAATTCTTTGACCTAAACGAAAGCCCCCCCCCCTCTTTTTTTAGCCACACAAACCCAAAAGATGAATTGTGGGGTCCAAAAGAGATACAAGACACCTATTTCAGTAAAGCAAATTTGACTGGCAGTTTTGCGAACGGCAAAAATCTAAATGCTGTTTGTCAATACCTTCGCCTTATATTCCAAGTGAAAACAATTACTTAAATGTTTAATAAAAATAAATCAAAATTAAACTACATGGGGGATCATTCAGGGTATTCCAACTTAGTTGCACCAAAAGGGTATCTTACTATACCAAATTAATCCTTGATTCTTCAAAGTTTAGTTTAGCCATAATAAAAAGGAGTATATAACAGCAATAGAATGTCATAAACAGTGCAGAATAAGTCTGTTCACATTTCAGACGAAATTTATACTGTTGAGATAGTGTCGAGACATATTCAGACATTATTTAGAATGTCAAGAATATGTCGAGACATATTCAGACATTATTAAGAATGTCCAGAATATGTCAAGACAGATCGAGACAAATTTAAGACAGTCAAGAATTGGTCGAGACTAATCCAGACTCTTATCAGATGATACAGGAAGTGTCGAGAAATTTTAAGACAATGTTCATACTGTCAAGACACTTGTCAAGAAAAATCAAGAACCTTATTAGACAAATTCATACTATGTCAAGAATTTTTAAAAATTATTCAGACAAATTAAGAATGTCGAGTAAAAATTCATGCAAATTCAGACAAAAACTGGTCTTTTCAGACTTTTTGACTTTTGTAGTGATGTGAGCTCAATAAATGGATCCATGAATATGTTTTATGAGATAACCTGACTTATGCCTTATGGTAAAAGCTTACCAAGGGAACGAATGAAAAAACACTCAAAAACTCATTTAACTCTTTAAGATTTTGTTGGTGAAAATCTATTTTGAATATGCACTAGGGTTTAAATACCCTTTGTGTAATATTTGACACTTTGCTTTATTTTCTCATATCAATATTAGCTTATTAAATAAAACAAAACAAAGGTGGCAATATGTTATAAGTTGCAAGCATACTATATAATAATTAATACGTCTTATGGGGAGATAATTCCGGCGCAGGAGAAATATGCTTTATAAAACAAATAGAAAATGAATTTCATATTTTTATATATGTTAGACACTTTTGTATAAAGGTTGTCTGGTCAAAGCAGGTTTTATCACATAAAGCATTCCATCTTAACGACAGTCTTTTAATATTCTATCATTGAGGATTAAAATATATTGCAGAATTTCGATTTCACCTTATACTAGTATTTAAACGTGACAACATTCGTTAATATGAGCTTCTCTAAGCGTATTTTTTTTTATTTTGAAAAATATATACTAAAAGCAGAAAAATGCTTGCTACAAGAAACAATGTAACAAACATTTGATATACAAAATCAATTCATACGTGGAATTTGAGATACGGAGATTGCAAAATTTTAAAAGATTTTTTGTAATTTTTTATTTTATCAGAAAAAAACTCCAATCATTGAGATACATAAATATATAAATAATTTATGATATAAGTATTAATATTAAATTTTTCAATAGCAGTCTCAAGCTGAAATGTTAGGTACGCTAATTTTATGCATATATATATGGTAATTATATACTAGAACCTACTCATCTTTTATCACTCTGGAATAAATTACATGAATACGTCGAAAAAGTTAATGATGGCATTGGCCTTCTCCTCTGACCACATTCATCTCTGTCAATACTATGATGTAGAAAATGAGAGGCACCAGGAGAGGCCACCAGATCATTAACATATAAGGGTCAGACATGACATGTTGGACAGAATTACAAAGTAAATAACAAGCAAAGTCAAGAGGAGACAATTCAAATACAATAAAACAAAATTAAGTATATCTATATATATATATAACCAAGTCTAAATTGAAAACAACGTTCAAACCTATGATTGCGTTGGATAAAAACCGCAATTTTTATACGTCTACATGCAAAACAAATTTCTTGGTAGAGGGGTCTAAACACAGCACAAACAACATTTTCCAAAAGACCAAAAAAAGTGAAAAAGTATATTTTAACAAAACGCATTTGACTAGCAGGTCGAACAACGGATGTTATTAAACCCTGCTGACTGCCATTGGCGATTGCCAAATAAACGGATCACCAGATGTTACAAAATGGATCTTAACTACTAATTTAATACCAAACAGAAAACAATAAACTTGTGAAAAGATGGTATACCGCAAACAAAAGGTGCAAAAATTAGTACACCATATCCGGATTTCGACAATTAATGTCTCTTCAGTGATGTTAGGAATCGAAACGGTATTTGGAATGCCATAAAATTTACCTCAATTTCGGATAGACTCTTGAATTTGGAAGAGTCGAAATAGGATGAACGGATCATATAAACCCGAAGGCAAATATAAAACAAGCCCAAACGAAAAAATATAAACAAGTCTAAATTGAAAACAACGTTCAAACCTATGATTGCGTTGGATAAAAACCCCAATTTTTATACGTGTGCATGCAAAACAAATTTCATGGCAGAGGGGTCTAAATACAGCACAAACAACATTTTCCAAAAGACAAAAAAAAGTGAAAAAGTATATTTAAACAAAACGCATTTGACTAGCAGGTCGAACAACGGATGTTCTTAAACCCTGCTGACTGCCATTGGCGATTGCCAAATAAACGGATCACCAGATGTAACAAAATGGATCTTAACTATTAATTTAATACCAAACAGAAAACAATAAACTTGCGGAAATGATGGTATACCGCAAACAAAAGGTGCAAAAATTAGTACACCATATCCGGATTTCGACAATTAATGTCTCTTCAGTGAAGTTAGGAATCGAAACGGTATTTGGAATGCCATAAAATTTACCTCAATTTAGGATAGACTCTTGAATTTTGAAGAGTCGAAATAGGATGAACGGATCATATAAACCCGAAGGCAAATATAATACAAGCCCAAATGAAAAAAATATAAACAAGTCTAAATTCAAAACAACGTTCAAACCTATGATTGCGTTGGATAAAAACCGCAATTTTTATACGTGTGCATGCAAAACAAATTTCTTGGTAGAGGGGTCTAAATACAGCACAAACAACATTTTCCAAAAGACAAAAAAAAAGTGAAAAAGTATATTTTAACAAAACGCATTTGACTAGCAGGTCGAACAACGGATGTTCTTAAACCCTGCTGACTGCCATTGGCGATTGCCAAATAAACGGATCACCAGATGTAACAAAATGGATCTTAACTAATAATTTAATACCAAACAGAAAACAATAAACTTGCGGAAAAGATGGTATAGCGCAAACGTAAGGTGTAAAAATTAGTACACCATAACCGGATTTCGACAATTAATGTCTCTTCAGTGA